AAGTACCACAAAGTAAGTGTGGGGAAGATCGTTTACACCATTGTTCGTAGTAGGTCTGTTCCCTGGGCTCGGGCTCACCCCAAACCCTAAACCCCAAGGGCCTAAACCAAAACCCAAAAACCCATCAGTTGTCTGGGAGCAAATGAAGGCCTTAAACCCGAGACCCTGAGCCCCAACCCTAAACTACATGGAATAGATTGCACTGGAGACCCAAAACTCAGGGGGAGCGAATCAAAAAGACAAAGAAAGAACAACAAAAAAACATGGTTGCCTGCTGTGGTCGTTGCTCTCGAATGGCCGCGACGGCTTTTCTCAGCTGCAGGGCAGACCCGTCCAGCGCCAGAAACTGCATGCCGCCGACCGCCTGAGTCCGGGAGAGTGGGCTGTTGGTATGGAGTGGGTTGAACCCCGAACCCTGAACCCTGAACCCTGAACCCTGAACCCTAAACCCTGAACCCTAAACCCGATGTTCGGCTTCGGCCCGGTAACTTGCGACCCAGAGCCCGAATCCACCTGGTCCCCTTCGTTTCGACCCCCAGGTTTTCTGTGGTTTTGCAGGCATTGTAGGGTTTAGGGTTTAGGGTTTAGGGTTTAGGGTTTAGGGTTTAGGGTTTAGGGTTTAGGGGGCTTAGACGGCTGTAGGGCTTTACAGGATTTTGCAGGGCTTTATAGGGCTTGTGGGGTTTTATAGGCTCTTGGAGGGCTTAGAGGGCTTATAGGGTTTTGCTCCCTAAGCTCCGACAACGCCGAAGATTCCACACCCGTTGAGGGTTTAGGGTTTAGGGTTTAGTGTCTAGGGCATCCATACTACGGCTTAGGTCTTCCCTGTCTGGAAGATCTTAAGCACTCCAACCCACCCGACAGGCGTTTTGAGGAGCTACTTAGGGTTCAGGGTTTAGGGTTGAGGGTTGAGGGTTTAGGGTTTAGGTCAGGGTTTAGGGTTCAAGCAATCCAGAGACGCCCAACGCAGGTATCCTCTATTTTGCATTAAGGCTGGTTCCACAATTTAAGGGCCATTGGAATCTGTTATTTTCAAGGGTTTCCCTACTACACCCCTCTATACGACATTAAAACAGCCTGAAGTATGGGGGGGAACCTAGAGGGGGTAGTAGGGTAGAACCCATGATCTTTGGGAATCTTGCAGTCAATGGCCAATGGCATCGTTAACTATTGGCGCCCTTCTTCATTCTTTCAAACCGCGAAGAACTGATTGTAGGCGAGCATGGGCTATGCTTTTGCATTGTACATTTGCCGCGCTGAAAAAGAACTATGCAAATGTTGTAGAATAGAAATGCATTTGTCACATCTCAATATCGTAAAACATCTGCGGAGCCATGCTTTGCAAACCCTAAACCCTAAACCCTAAACCCTGAACCCTAAACCCTAAACCCGTTGCTTGCTTTACCAACGACTTATGGAACCTGCCTTGTGAGCATCTCCCCAGGACCAAAGTGAAACTTCTGCTCGAGGCCCTCAATCCTGAACACAGCCCGAAAACACTGAAGCCCTAACCCTAAACCCTAAACCCTAAACCCTAAACCCTAAACCCTCAACCCTCAACCCTCAACCCTCAACCCTCAACCGCCTGCCTCCGCAAGTCCCCGCGAGGCCATCGGCCCCAAGCGTCGGAGGGCCAAGCGTGTCCGCCACATCGCTTCCCAAAACACAGGCGGTCAGAGGCTTGGCGGCTTAGCCTATCTCCCCTTAGAACCGTCAAAAAAAGTACGATGCTCAATATTCCCTTGGGTTTCACTTAAATGAATTATAAAAGCAAAAAACCATGTTTAAGATTCCCTTGGATTTTATACAAATAGAACATCTATGGGGGCTCGAGTAGCTTGCCGGAGGAAGGTGCATGATTCAGACAAATACATGGAGGCCTTAAGAAGTAAAATAGTGCTTTTTCCTTTTTGAGGGGGGAGGGGGGTATTACAGTATGCGTAAGTTATATAGGGGCCATAAGGGAATACAATTAGCATTTATTCCGACCCCTGTTAGAGGGTTTAGGGCACTAGGGTGGCTGTCGAAAAAAGGGTTTAGGGAGGGGCTTGGCAGGACGAGGGTTCTGGAAAGCATCTGAACTCTGTTTGAGGTTGGTCGTGGGAGCCGCTTCGTGGGACCTATTTTGAGAGGTGCACCCTAAACCCTAAACCCTAAACCCTAAACCCTAAACCCTAAACCCCAAACCCTAAACCCTAAACCCTAAACCCTAAACCCTAAACCGTAACCAGGTGTGAGAGCGGGAGGCCTACTTCGACTCCACAAAACGCAGAGCCAGCGCCTTTGCGGTATGGAAAGTTCGCGGCGAGCCTCTCTTCTTTGGGGAGGTGGCGAGCCACCCAAGAGAGGAAAACTAAATTGCGAGATCTCACAACAGGAACCTATAGACGGCCTAGCCCTCCCGACTTGCCGCGGCTCGTGCAAAAACCCAGGTTTTTGGTGCTCTTCTGTGCAGGCTTGAGGGGCTTCTGGCTCCCGGAGCAGGCTGGGGAAATGCAGCCTATACGCATCCTGAAGCCCCTAAACCCTAAACCCTTCAACCCTCAACCACCTGAGCTCCCCCCCCCCCCCAAACAAAAAAAAGGCTCGAAACCAAGGCTTTCAACAAGCCCTTGTAGATCCTAAGCCTCATGCTCGCTCTGGAAGCCCTTCTTTGATCCTGAAACCCCACCTTAATCAACCGTAGGTTCCTGAGGAAGCTAAGATTAAGATGGCGTGCACTTTTTTGAGGAGTTTAGAAGGAATCTACACCTCACAAGCCTCACACGCAAGGAACAAGGATGCTACTGGGCGTCCTACAAGTCCTATATCCAAGCAACTTAGGTGCGCACCGTAGACCGGCCTAGATACCTTCCAACAAGGTACGTTGGTTCCAATCTCCCGAATCAGCCCATGAACCCTAAACCCTGAACCTGAAAATCATCCCGAATTTCGGGATGTTAAGGTCTCTGGAGAACTCAGCATACTTCTACCCTTCTTTAGGGCACTTAGCTCCCTAAACCCTAAACCCTGAACCATCCTAAACCATCCTTAACCATCCCAAAACCATCCTGAACCCTAAGCCCTAAACCCTACGTCTAACTACCCATGAACCTCCATGTAGGCGGGCCCTAAACCCTAACCCGCAACCCCGAACCCTAAACCCTAAACCCCAAACCCTAACCCCAACAATAAGCCCTAAACCCTAAACCCTAAACCCTAAACCCTAAACCCTGAACCCTAAACCCTGAACCCTAAACCCTAAACCCTAAACCCGGCTGTTCACCTGGAGCTGTCGGGGCGGCGGAAGCCGCGGATCGCCTGCATGAGTCTGGGTTTAGGCGATTTAGGGTTTAGGGTTTAGGGTTTAGGGTTTAGGGTTTAGGGGGTTTGGGGCTTAGGGTTCAGAGCCGAGGGTTTGGGGTTCAGGGTTCAGGGTTTGAGGGTTTGCGGTTGGGTTTTCGCGCCAAGGTTCAGGGTCCTTTCCTACCCAGCCCGGCCAGTTTATGGCCTTGTTCGGAGGTTTCTTACCTTCCCATCGTTTTTCCCCACCCTCGGTGTGGGGTTGTTAGATTTTAAACTCAACTCTTCTCCTCGCCGGAAACGCTTCTCCTCGCCCGGAACTCTTCTCCTCGCCCGGTCTACTCCTCGCTCATCCCTGGAGTGCCCAACCCCAAATGTCCTTGGAGTGCCCACATTTAGAGTGTGCCTGGAGTGCCAAATCAGGAGTGCCCAGCCCCAGAGTCTCCCTGCAGTGCCCAACCCCAGAGTCCCCTGGAGCCCAACCCCAGAGTGTCCGTCCCCAGAGTGTCCGTTTCCCTGAATTGCTCAACCCCAGAGTCTCGTGCCCAACCTCAGAGTGTCCCCGAGTGCCCAGCCCCAGAGTGCTCCTGGAGTGCCCAACCCTAGAGTCCTAGAGTATCTCTACCAAGGGAGGGTGGGGATGTTCGAAGTAAAAAAAAATTGTTGCGTTTCTTGTCTGTCGTTTTTTGTTTTTTTGTTTGGGGGGGGGGGGGGGGGGGGGAGTTCTATACTTCCTCTAGAACCACAATAAAGCTTCCCTAGGCCGTACTATATAAACACAAACAACACAATTGCTAAGGAATTAGGCGCAACCCTGCCATTTCTACATGTGAAGAAAGACTTCGTAGCCCGGTGACCATACTAAAATAAGGGTACCCGTTTTATGGGGTTGGCTACTTATAAGGGAACCTTGAACCAAAAAAGGGGCGCAAAAGGGTACCACTGGACTGCCAGGGTGTTTCGAAACCTGGTGCCCCATTGGCATGGATGGAGGGCCTTGGTTGCGGAGTCCGGGAGCCAGGAGTCCAAACCCCATGAACCCTTTTCGGGTTTGGGGGTCAGGTTTGCGGCTGAGGGTTTAGAAAACTTCCTCTTATCTGCGAAGGCACCCCCCCCCCCCCCCCCCGCAAACTACAAACTACAGTGCCGGTGAGTTGCTTAAACCCTAAACGCGAAACCGCCCTAAACCCTAAACCCTATACCCTAAACCCTAAACCCTAAACCCTCAACCCTAAAACCCTGAACCATGTTTCCGGGATCTGGGCGCTGTGATGTCACGAGTTCTGGGTCTCCAGCCTGTTTGGATGGCAAGGACCTGAGCATGTCGTGACTTAGGGTTTAGGGTTAAGTGGGTTTAGGGTTTAGGGTTGTTCAGGGTTTAGGGTTTAGGGTTTAGGGTTTAGGGTTTAGGGTTTAGGGTTTAGGGTTTAGGGTTTAGGGTTTAGGGAAGAGAGCACAGTACCCTGCAACCAAGGATGCCTCATGTCATCGAGATGTGACCTCGACTACATGAGCTGTCTTCGCATCTTTTGAGTCAGGCAAGCCCACTCGCGGCGGCGTGAAGAGCAAATGCGAATTCCATGATGCAGCTACACAGCTTCTCTATCTTAGTTGTGCAGTATCGTAGTGGACCAAAGGTTAACCTTTGGGATTCTATAGGGATTATAATACCCCAAAAAGGTTAAAGGTTACACCTACTCTACTACAACGCTCTGCACCTACTCCAGATCTAGGAGGTGCTGCGCAAAGCAATTTCCAGTCATCTGACAGAGGCATTGCACACCCAAGCCTATGACCTGCAACCCAAATGGGTTCGTATATGTGTAGATGATGAAAGCCTTGGTTGCTGAGTTCATAAGCCTCCCAAAAAGTGTATACTTTCAGTTTTATAGGGGGTTTTAGTATCCCAAAAAACGTAAAGTGTACTCGTTCAGCTACTAAGAGGCGGCCGTGAAGGACAAGGAACACACCAAAGCCCCATAGGCCTGCACGTAGCCCCGGTTAAGGGAAGGGACCGTGATCGCTTCAAAACGTTGCATCACCATGAGCTCCTTGGCAGCCCAATAACCATCCTATAATAAGGGCACCTGTTTTTTTGGTTGGTTACTTTATAAGAGAAACCCAGAACCCAAAAAAAAGGGGTAAAGGGTACCACTGGACTACCAAGGCGCAAAGCTTCTGCCCAGCAAAGCGCTGTGGATCATGTTGTCCACCTGCGGGGGGGGGGGGGGGGGGGGGGGACGGGGGCCTACCGTACATTTGCGTTCATGCATAAGGAGCATACGTGCGTAAGCGCATAGACGGGTACAGCATGCGCATACGTTTAAATATATCCCTATATATATATATGTATATATATATATATATGTATATATATATATGTATATATGTATATATATATATGTAATTGTATTTACACACAGAGATAAGTACATATATGGGCCATTATATGGGGATAGCCATGGGGATAGCACAATTGCGCTGGCGGCTTCCGTGCGTCTGCGTGCCTCGAGGAGGAAGCCAAGCGCAGTACAGTTCAGCACGAGATCCTCGCAAGTCTATGTGCAACAAGAATGCGACTGCTTGGAAGCTGGCCCAGAACCCTAAACCCTAAACCCTACACCCTAAACCCTAAACCCTAAACCCTACACCCTAATTCCTAAACCCTAAACCCTAAACCCTATAGGGTTTAAGGATCAAGCCTAGTGGAGGCGCCACAGAAAGGCACTTATGGAAACTGCCTGTGTCTTGGAGGCCGGTCCCCTAAACCCTAAACCCTAAACCCTGAACCCTAAACCCTAAACCCTAAATCCTAAACCCTAAACCCTAAACCCTATAAACCCCTAAACCCTTCTTCTTTGCCGGTCCAGGAGATTATTGGTGACCGCCAGGAAGTTGGTGCCCACGTACAGGACAACGCAAGCGATACCAAGCCGCGGCAGCGCGATGCCTTGGTAGCCCAGTATAAGGGCACCCTTGTTGGGGTTTAGGGTTTAGGGTTTTGGGTTTAGGGTTTAGGGTTTAGGGTTTAGGGTTTAGGGTTTAGGGCTTAGGGCTTAGGGCTAGAAGCCCAGTAACCAGAATTTAACAAGGGCACCCTTTTTGGGGTTTAGGGTACTTTATAAGGGAAACCCAGAACCCAAAAAAGGGTAAAGGGTACCACTGGGCTACCAGGATACCAAAGAAGGCGAAGATCTTGTGGCCCTTTGGCAACTTGGTCCTAGGCTGCCCAGTAACCTAGGCTTAAAAAGGGTGTCCTTTTTTGCTTGAAGGGGTTTATCCTAAACCCTAAACCCTAAACCCTAAACCGTAAACCCTAAACCCCCCAAAAAGGGAATAAGGGTACTACTGGGCATCCTAGGGTCACTGTGTACACGCCCTCATGTTCCATGGCAAAGTCTCGGTCGGAGTGATCCGTGGACGCCGTGCACCAAATCCTTGAGGGTTTAGGGTTTAGGGTTTAGGGTTTAGGGTTTAGGGTTTAGGGTTTAGGGTTTAGGGTGCGAAGGCTTTGGCCACCCTTGAAAAGGGATTAGGGTGTGGTGGCTTTGGGTTTTGAGGTTTGAGGTTGAAACACAACCAAGACATCAACGTGCTTCCATTGTCAGCTCGGGTGTCACATAGACGAAGTTGTAGATACTGCGGAACTCACACATTATCAGCATAACCCACACAAAGAGCAGCAGGACGAGGAAGGAGATGAAGGTATAACCTAAAATTGAATCCGAATCTCCTTTGAAGGTGTTGACTGCCTCATACGTTACTCGATTCGCCGACCCTGCTCTGTGAAACTTGGGTTGGCCACAGATGTCTGCGGTCGTGTGACCAATCCACTCGTAGTTCATGCCGTAGACTTGCCGGCAAAAATGATCAACAACGTCCTCGCACTTGTCCACACGTTCCCCAACCAACTCGAAATCTTTGAACATCTTCGGCAAGTGCTGTGAAGCCTCGAAATTCCCGCACAGATTCTTGTCGTAGCCCAAACAAGCCTGAATGTGCCCGCGGTAGTTCGCGAAGAAGTCCTGACTTTTCTTGAATCTTGACAGTCAGCCACAGGGCTCAACAAGTTCATCGGTTTATTAGTTCATGAGTTTGCGTTCGACAGCCTTACGGCTACACCTATCCTATAGTGAGGTGTGGAACCAAACAAGTAGAGCGTCTGAGTCACGCTTTACCAGAACCCAAATCAACTATCCATTAGTCCAAAGCTCCATGTCCAGTAAGAATGTGCCGTTCCCGAGCCTCTGTGATCGGGAAGTTGGGCGATGCTTCATATCATACCTCGCCATGTTCTCCATTACAGTGCCCAGGTCGCCGATTTTTGGGTTCTCCCGGCCAAACTTGCTGGAGGTCAAAATCCTTCGCTTTTCTGCCACTTCTGCCTCCGACCAGAACCCATCTTTGTTGGTGTCCACACTGCTGGGATACATGGAAAGGGTCAAGATTGGCTGGAGGCAATCGAAATCAAAAGTGGAGCGATTATACTGCAAGTCACGCGGATAAAGAGTTCCGATGAACTCAGGATGGTCTGAAATTCTCCAACAAGTTACTTCGATCAAATCCTTTCCGATGTCGCCGTAGGTTGCTTCTCCTACTTGCTTAATCTTCAAGGCAATCGAAAGCTGCATGTAAACATTGAGAAGAAGGAAGATGCACACCAGCCTGTAATCGGAAAGTCGGGTCTTGCAGGAGCCTGAATCCCTGTTCCCCTAGGAAGAAAAAAGGATCCTTTTTGATTCATATATAAGAAAGCCCATAACCCAAAGAAGTAAAAAGGATCCCTAACACTGATCGAGGAGCCATCCGTTCGGATGCGCTCCAGCTTGAAATACAGCGGCGTAAACAGCGCATCCTTGGCCCCGGCGTTGAGTTGATGCTAGGGGAGACCTAAACCCTAAACCCTAAACCCTAAACCCTAAACCCTAAACCCTAAACCCTAAACCCTATGACTCTACACCCTACAGTAAACCCCAAAAAGTTGGAAATCCTTTTGAGAAACAAATAGTGCTGGGATTCCCTATACTTTACTCTTAGGGATTGAGGCTATTGAGTTTCCAACTTTTTGGCTTCTACTGTACCTGGGATGAAAATCACCCGGCCTTCCGTGGCTGTGTAAAAAGAGTCAACATGACAAACATTGTAGTCTGAGAGGCAAAGAGATACTAGACTCACTTCAGCATACCATACCATACCATACCCTACCATGCCCTACTATACCATACCGCACTGCGCTGCATTACACCAGGGTGCGCTATCCTGAACAAAGGACAACAATTCTCGGTCAACTAAACTCTGAACTATACTACTAAACTCATATAAGTCAAGCAAAACAAAACCATGCTATACTACGCTATGCTACAGTGTGGTCAAGGAAGAGTGTGTCCCAAAGGTTTGAGCAGGCACCCCAAGCCAAAGCCCCAACGCTGCTGAATACACTACACGATGTAGTAATCACCTTTTACGATACTATACTATACTATTCTAGACTATACTGTACTATACTTTTTCTATACTATACTACACCATGCTATAATATACTATACCATACCATACCATACCATACTATACTATACTATACTATAAAATATACTATAGTATAAATTATACTATATATACTATGCTATAAAACTGTTCTATACTATACGATACTATCCTATACTTTGCAACGCGAGGTTCCAAATAGATGTCGGCCTCGGACGGTTCAAGGCTTCTCATTTGACCCGCGTGCCTCACACACTTCCGCAAGGAAGTGCAGGACGAGCATGGAGGCTTCTGGAATTGGGTTTGGGGGTTAGGATTTATGTAGGGTTGGGAGGGTCTAAGGGCGGTTTAGGCTTTAGAGCTTTACTCTGCAGGGTTTAGGGTTTAGGGTTTTGCGTTTAAAGAGTTCGGGTTTAGGGGCTCTGCGACTCATGACTACGGTGGGGTGAGTAGCTGCAAGTAGGACTCACAAAGAAGTGAAAGGCTGCTGACTGCGCTGCAGAGGTTCTCCCCAAGGCTGCTTTCGGAATCCGAGGGCTGCTCTTCAAGTACTCCAGTGTATGCCAAAGCATTCCGGACCTTCATGACTTTGGCCAAAGGCTCTTGCCCAGCACTGCTTGGGTGTGCTCCCGTGGTCGTTCAACCCTAGCACCGGCGTCCAAACCCTCCAGGGCAGACCAGTCTTGCTGTGCTAGGATGATTGGGAAAGTGATAAGAAGACGAAGAATGACATCAAAAATAACCACAGTATTAAGAATATTAGTAGTAATAATAGTAGCAATAATCTTCGTCATACTAGTAATTAGGAAATTTCCTTGGCTAGAGCGCTACGTCCCCCGAAGGCCTTATAGGCCTCGGTTGACGGTAAACTTTACAACAGGAAATGAATCTGAGTCTTTTGGCTTTTGTCGGCTTCAGGCGGAACAGGTGCTGATTTACCCGAAATGCTTACCGTGGCCCTCGGCGTGTCGCTATTCGTCACTGGGGCCCCTTATAAGCCCAAATGCGGAGAAATGCATGCATCTCCCAAAGGCCAATCCCCTAACCCTAAACCCTAAACCCTAAACCCTCTTTTCTTTTCTGTCAAGGAATATGGTTTAAGTCAGAGTAGGGATTCCAAGAACTATTCCTTCATTTAGGGGCACCGGGCTTTGGGGACTGCAATGTGACGGCCGGATCCGCGGGCCTGCTAACCCGTTCCGGGTTTAGGGTTTAGGGTTTAGGGTTTAGGGTTTAGGGTTTAGGGTTTAGGGTTTAGGGTGTAGGGTGTAGGGTGTAGGGTGTAGGGTTTAGTGTTTAGGGTTCCCGGCTAAGGGTTTAGGGTTTCTAGGGCTTAGAGTTTAGGGTTTAGGGCTTCGGGTTTAAGGGAACAGGGAAAGCTGCGTCATGCCCATACGGCCCTAAACACCCCAAGCCTCCCCAAACCCTAAACCCTAAACCCTAAACGCTAAACCCTGCACCCTAAACCCTAAAGCCAACTGTTCTCCAAGAACGCTCCTTGAAAATTGTCGGAACTGGGCGACCGGCATGTGGAAACCTAACGCCTTTGAATCAACAAAACAACCTCCAAACACCACTCCCCCCCCCCACAAAAAAAATGTAAGCCCTAAACCCTAAACCCTAACCCTAAACCCTAAACCCTGAACCCTACACCCCCCGAAGAAAACTCTTTCAAGCACTTGCGCCAAGGCTAGGACCACCAGTCCCAGAAGAGAGAGCACGCCACGCGTTCGGGCCATGGCCACCCCAGGATGGGCTATCAGGCCTTATATTCCCCATAGTCAATCCTATAAAGGGCATTTAGGGCTTTTTAACCCTAAACCCTACACCCTAAACCCTAAACCCTAAATGGGCTATCGGGCCTGATAATTCCCGTAGTCAATGTAAAGGGCCTTCTTGAGGGGTTGCGGGGTAGAATAGCCCGACCTGTTTGGTGCTTAGGGTGTAGGGTTTAGGGCTTAGGGTTTAGGGTTTTAGACTCCGCATGCACTGCGTGGCTGTAGGATGCTCGCGGCTGCTTTTCGGAGTGAGGAAATGGATGGCAGCAGGATGCAGCAGGGTTAGATGACTACGTGAAGGTTCATGGCACTTATTAGCCAATTAGAACTGTACTTATAACCCACGTATAAGCCCCCTAAGTGCCCTAATATGGTCATAAGTACAGTGATAAGTACAGTTACAATTGGTTAATATAAGTGCCATGAACCTCCAAGTAGCCTCGCTGCTCTAGATGGAGCGCGCCGCAGGTGCGTACACGCACCTGCCTCACAACACACATGCTGTGCGCGCAATCTGCACAAATGTGCTATATATCTATCTATATGTATGTATGCATGAGTATATATATATATATATATACATCATATATATCTATATGTACATATGTGATGTACATATTATTTATAAAGAAAAACACTTTATATGTATATATATATATACACATATGCATTACATACATATACATACACCTACATAGATTGTACCAACGGTACATGTCCTGAACAGGGAAATCCAACAAGACGAAAAGCGGGGACTCGGTGGCTGGAGTGCCCGGAGCATCTTCACTCAGGTTTGGGCTTTAGGCTTTAGGGTTTAGGGTGGTCGGGTGTTCGGGTGCTCGGGTGTTCGGGTGTTCGGGTGTTCGGGTGTTAGGGTGAATCTCCGATCTGGTGGCACAAGGTCGTGACTGTTCCTGTCCTCCCAGCAACTAACAGACCGAAGCAACCATCGCAACACAAAATGGCAGAGGCATGCAGACACAAGCACATTACGTTTTGTCCGCCAGATAAACAGTGGCACCACGTTCGAGAAGAGCCACGTATCCCAGCTTCTGACTTTCATAGGCCACCACAGCATTAAACGCAATCATGAATGACACAAAATTGCCAAGTAAGTGTGGCCGACTGTATCTGCAATGTGTGCCATGTAATCGGCGGCCAAGCTGAGGTTGTGTTGTGCACCCAATAGACTGGACATTGCCAGGGCCGTTCCTCAGCCCTTTTCGTCCTGGCGGCATCTGCCGAAGCACAGCTGTTCCATCAAAAGCTGTGCTGCTCGTTTTCGTCAGTCTGCGCATAGCGTCAAGTGACTACTTGAAGTCACGCCTATGGCGAGTTTTGTTCCGAAAGTTGTGGCCTCGCTCATACTCGTGCTTAAGGGGGAGTGGAGGAGTGAACATAGCTTTTACCTGGCCCCTTAAGAACAAGTAAGGCTTTGGATGGTACTCACGAATCTCCATACCCGCCCCCCCCACGCAGACTGACCTCCATGCCGCCCCCTTTTATCAAAACTCTGCCGTGCACCCGCGGCTCACTTCTTCCTTAGATGAGCGTTGGCTGGGCCCTAAACCCTAAACCCTAAACCCTAAACCCTAAACCCTAAACCCTAAACCCTAAACCCTAAACCCGCTTTGCAAAACGACCTGTCTTAAGGTGCCGGGCCAATCCCGGTAGCTGTCTTTAGGATCCTTAAACCAGCCTTGATATGTAGAATAAGGTTTTGGGGGTCATTATAGTAGAACACCCTGGTTCTTAGTAGGGAATGAGGGAAACTAGGGCCCTATATGTACCCCTTAAAGGAGTGTATGGGTACCTCATTCCCTCATTCTCTACTAAGAACCAGCCAGAGAAACATAAGGGGGCACTAGTAGTAACTATTCCAACCCCTATAGAACCCAGTTCTCAACTCCTTTGCACCTTGGGTTGGGTGACTAAACCCGTAAACCCGTAAACCCCAGACCCCAAACCCCAAACCCTAAACCCTCCACCCTAAACCCCAAACCCTAAACCCTAAACCCGTTTGGCAAGGCCCAAAGTCGTCACATGACGCATGAAGCCTCCCCCTCCTTGGACCCCTGGTTCTTAGCAGGGAATGAGGAAACTAGGGACCCCTACGCTACGTATATCCTTTAAGGGAGATGGGTACCTCATTCCCTCATTCCCTACTAAGAACCATCCAGCGGGGGTCCACGGGTGCAGGCGTAGGATCCGGGTTACAGCTCTGAAAAAAGTAGGAATAGGCTGTAGGCTGTAGATATAACTCGCTGCAGCTCTATGAAACCCTAAACCCTAAACCCTCTTCAAATGGTCGCTATGGTTGCCAGAGCTTCTTGATGCCACGGCCACGCCCTCGGCCGCGGCCCCGGCCGGCCAAGGACTTGACCTCGGGATCTTTTCCCGATCTCCCGAAACCCTAAACTAAACCCTAAACCTTAAACCCTAAACCCGAAACACTAAACCCTAAACCCTAAACCCTAAACCCTGACTTCCATGAAGTAGCTCAGGGACATGAGCTTTGAGGTGCATACCAGAGCCTCACTGCTAGAGAGCACCGTCAAAACCACTGCTCGGCCCCTACGCCGAAACCCTAAACCCTAAACCCTAAACCCTAAACCCTAAACCCTAAACCCTAAACCCTAAACCCTCAACCCTCAACCCTAAACCCTAAACCCTAAACGTACGTCTACCCCTGAACCCCAGAGGCCTGAAAGCCTGAAACCCGAAACTGCCCTAAGCCCATACATCCCTCACAGACCTACCTAGAGGTTCATGGGTAGTTAGAAGTAGGGCTAGAAGTATGGTAACTGTACTTATAACCCTATTCCGGGTACTTAGAAACCTTACTTACAACTGCCCATGAGACCCTAAACCCTAAACCCTAAACCCTAAACCCTAAACCCTAAATCCTACCCTGCTCAGGGAAGCGTGCCTTCGGCAGGCGCTTGGCATCGTCCACAAGCAAGGTGTCCAGGGGAATGCTGTCCTGGGAGCCCATTTAGGTGAAAGTTTCGGGGTTTAGGGTTTAGGGTTTAGGGTTTAGGGTTTAGGGTTTAGGGTTTAGGGTTTATTAGGGTTTATTAGGGTTTATAGGGTTTATAGGGTTTATAGGGTTTAAGCTTTAGGGTTTTCCGCGGAATTGGGGCTTATGGCCCTTTAGGGCCTTTGCCCCAGGGTTTACAGGCTGTAGGATTCTCCAACCAGGCAAAAGAAACAGAAGCGACCGACAGGCCCAGAATCCGGGAGGATGACGTACCTGGTCAAGCGGCGTCATGCTTGAGATAATTTGGGGGTTCCCGAAATTGGGGGTACCTTCTTGGGGTCCTTTTTAGAAGGGGATCCTACTACTTGGGGGGCTAGTTTAGGGGTCCCCTATGTTCGTACGCCCCCCATTTGGGATGTGAAGCATACTATGGAAGTGGGTGTATAATCCCCAAACCCCTTCGAGAGCGCGGAGTGGAGTTTTGGGTACCTTCGGATTGAGGGTTTTGGGGAGCTGCTTGCGGATTAGGGTTTCGGGTCTTGCCTCGTAATTTTGCCTTCAACACAACGAGAACCTTAGGGTTTCGGGTCTTGCCTCGTAATTTTACCTTCAACACAACGAGAACCACTTCGGAGCCTTGAAAGATCTTTCGGGGCTGTTGAGTGAAAGGACCTCAGGACGTTTTGCCTCCACTTGGGATGCTCTCTGACCTAAGGCCCCGATCATCATGCGGGTAGCTATAGGGTACCCTCAGAAAACCCATCATGTAGGGAAGCCCACCCCCCCCCCCACTTCTTGAAGGGTTTCTGCTGCATCCAAGCCACCGCACGTTGTTGCCTCTGATCGTCAAGTGGTCCATAGATACGGGCGGCTTTCCCTTCACCGTGAACTTGATGTTCTTCATGTGTACATTCATGGACATGTCAACACCTCAGCTGCCAAGCAAGAACTGCACACTGAAACCTAAGCCTTCAACCCCAACGAGGTAAAGCTTCACTTGGGCGACGGAGAGCGTATAAGCTCAGCCACGCTGTGACGATACCTACGCTGACTTGCAGGTAGCGCCCCAGCTGGAGGATGCTAGTGCGAGGGTTGAGAGTTTAGGTTTAGGGCTCTCCTTTCCACTGAGGTGGTGGCCGGTAATTGTCCCCTGCCGAGCAGAGCGAGTGGCATTGGCTTCGAGACTGGCAAGCTGACTGCCAAGAAAAGGCATGAGCCTGAACGACCGTGCTGTTCTTCAACTCAACAACCACGCTCTCGTTGCTCAGCTTCATCAGGAACCTCGCATGTTGTAAAATAGGTATGTGCTGAGACAGACCTGTCGGCCGTGTTGGGTGCTTAGTCCAGGGAGAATGGATCGGCCGAAATACTCCTTAATTGAGGACTATACCTTAGCTCAGCTAGGATGCGCAGTCTACCCTTTAAGGTATCTTCCTGGATTTCAACCAAGGGGTATGGACCTCTCTGGGCCCCTATGGCCCTATCTACCTGGCGGCGTGCCTGACAAGCCTCATCGTTGCAATGCGGGAAGGAGACCTCAGCTGTCAGGGCTGCAAGGGCGGCCTGTCCAACCGACAGCCTGGGCCCGAAAAACCCGAAATGCCTCAAACCCTAAAGCCCAAACCCCCAAACCCGCAACCCTGAACCTTGAGCCCTAAACCCTACACCTGCTCATGAGTGCATATTCATGAAAGTACGCTGATCAGTAGCACTAGAAGTCACAGAAGAACTAGCCGCCGTCGTAGAAAGGAGGAAGTAGCAAGGCCGACCAGGCCGAACGTGCGACGAACCTCCAAAAAGTTCGACGATCGACGGGCCTCGGCAAAATTCGATTAGAATATGCTGCAATGAATGAAACATCGAAGCGGCTGAGCCTGATTTTGGCCACATGATAGCATCTGTACACACGCATAGTACATACATCTATCTATATACACATAGTACACACATCAAAAGAGCGAGAGAGAGAGAGAGAGAGAGAACACTTGTTAACATAATCTTATCTCGGTTCGTAATGGAAGTTGTCAGAAACTAGTCAAAAAGCCCATACAAGCTGCACAGAGTTTACCCTCTTGTTTTTTTCTGAACTATTGGGGCCAACGAACCTGAGTCACGAATCCAACGACCCCAAAAAAATCGACGAACCTCTTCGAACCTTTTTGGCAGCACATATGGTCCCAGCGAACCCTGCGAATTTTCGGTTCACTGCAATCATCCTGAAGATGGTGCTTGGTGGTTCGATTTGTGGACTGACCCGAACCCCTGTGGTCAAAAATGCTTCGACGAATCCAGAGTGGTCCGACGGAGTTCGACGACACTTTTGAGCGAATTCTTTTGGGTTCGAGACAACACCGGCAGGCCAGAAAACAGATGCCACGAGCCGCCGCGTCACCAACCCAGGGCGGGCTTGCGCACGAAGCTTCCCAAACTTAAACCTTCAACTCAGCATCCGCAGCGGCAGCCACTCAAATCTATCAAGCACCTTAGCCTTAATGGAACTTTCCTGGGCTTGGAATAGTTGGCCAAAATCAGCCCAAAAGCAGGCCAAACAACAGAACTTTCAGCACAAGAGGTCAGTATAGCCGTCGAAGTGAAGAGGACAATGAAAGGAAGGACTGGAATTTAAGTAACACCATAACTAAACTGATTTAAGTAAGGAAGGCAACTGAGGTAATCAACTACCGCAATTAGTGTAGTTAACGTAGCTAATCTAATTCAGGTACTAGCTAAAGCTAATTAAAGCAATTGTAGCAGTCATGGCAACTAAAGTATCATTCGTTGATGATCTATCTCTCACAGGGCTCAACGCCGACCCCGAGAGCCACCCCTATACACAGGTTCAAAAGAAACTTTACTTACGTTGTTGATTGTTTAAGTCTTCCACATTGTGATTATATAATATTAGCGTATTCAAAACTCATGTTGCCAGGATACTGCCATACTATCAAACGATTGAGCTTCCTCAGTTTCCTGGGCGGGGTGCTATCAATATCAGAGCTTGTCGAACTGGGCAGCTAGACTGGACCCAACCCCCAAAACGTCGATCCTTCCCTGTACCCCACAACGCAGCTCGGAAAGAGGAGTTTAGAGGTTAGCCCAGAAAGCCTGAGCCCTTCTGCTGTCGGGAACTCGCATACCCCGAACGCAGAATTCAAATTGGTTCCGGGTTCAACAGGGTCTGGGGAGAACAGGCGTTCAGGGAGTTTAGGCCATTTTCGGGACTACTCAGACTACTCATCACGGTGACAAACACCGAGGCTGCCGCAGGCAACTGGCTGCGCTGCTACGTGGCGCGAGGGATGTTTACAGATCAACCGCACTGATGCTGGACAATGAATGTGCAATAGCTGAAGGTCTGCCGGTTTGGAGGGCTGTCAGAAATCACTTTCACTGTCTGAGCAACTGTTCCTATCCTGAGAGCCACAGCCAGATTGAGCACCCATGCGCATGGCTTGGTGATTTGTTGCATTGTGTGCAGGCTCGCGACCTCAGAGGTATCACATTTGTCCGCAAGATAAGTTGTGGCACCGCATTCAAGAAGAGCCACTTAGCCCAACTCCGCGACGTTCCAAGCCACACAGGCCTAGCTCTAGCTGAGTGGCTGCGCGGCATGTGCCAACGCGTAGAATGTCGAATGTTGATCTAAACAACCATCACACGATGGCAGCTGTGTAGCTGAGCTTGGGCAGTAGGCTCAGTAGGCTCAGTAGACCTTGCCTGCAAGGGCCGTTCCTCAGCCCCCCTAGGTCCTGGCCACACGCCTGAAGCACAGCCTTTCTATCTACGGCCATGCCTCTCATCTCCGTCAGTCTGAGCGCAGCAGCGATATGAGCAAGTCAGCGGCATGCCGGATAGATATTAGACACCCTAAACCCTAAACCCTAAACCCTAAACCCTAAACCCTAAACCCTAAGCTCGCCTATGCTCAGGCTGATCTCCATGCCATCCTTTCATTGAACAAGCTGCAGGGCACGCGGAGCTCACTTCTTCCTTAGACATCCCAGGGCCAAAGAGGCCCTGCAAGACAGACAAACTAGAGGGTTCTTAAGGTTTAGGGTTTAGGGTTTAGGGTGTAGGGTTTAGGGTTTAGGGTTTAGGGTTTAGGGTTTAGGGTTTAGGGTTTAGGGTTTAGGGTTTAGGGTTTAGGGTTTAGGGTTTAGGGTTTAGGGTTTAGGGTTTAGGGTTTAGGGTTTAGGGTTTAGGGGGGAATTCATGGGGTAGCTACCCAGGGAACCTTAGGGAAGCTCAGGGAGCCTTAGGGAGTAGTGGGAGGTATTAGGGAATCTTGGGTTGCCAACCCCCCTTGATCTGAACCCCCCTCCCTTAAGAACCCTATACCTATAAACATACAACCACAAGAGGGTTTAGGGTTCAGGGTTCAGGGTTTAGGGTTTAGGGTTTAGGGTATAGGGTTTAGGGCTTAGGACTCACCAATCCTTTTGAAAAGCCGCTTCTTGGGGACGGGAGGAGGGTAGCTTTGTAAGTAGCAATGAAGCCGCAAGCTGCATCTAAACCCTGAACCCTATAAACCCTACTATTAACCCTACACACCCTACAAACCCTAAAAACCATAGACACCCTATAACCCTATAAAACCCTGTAAACCCTGTAAACCCGTAAACCTTATAAACCCTATAAACCCTGTAAGCCCTATAATAAACCCGCAAAACCCAAAAAACCTAAACCCTAAACTCTACACCCTAAACCCTATACTCTAAAACCCAAACCCTAAAACCCTAAAACCCTAACCCCTCAACCCTCAAACCTTTACACCCTCAAACCCTCAAACCCTCAACCCTGAAGCCTCGACATGGCGTCCCTTCCCCTAAAACTCCAAATATAGAAATAATTCCTACATTGGGGTCGAAAGTCTACAAATATTACCTACTTTGGGCTATTTAACCCTAAACCCGAAAACCCTAAACCCTAAACCCCAAACCCTAAACCCTAAACTCTAAGCCCCAAACCCTAAACCCTAAACGCTAAACCCTAAACGCCCAGATTCTTGATGCCACGGCCGCGTCCCCTGCCGCGGCCTCGGCCCGCCAAGGACTTGACCTGTCGCAAGGTGGTTTTCCTGGGTTTAGTCCATCAACACCAGTCGGCCCCCGAAGATCCTTCTACACCTCGTTTAGGGTTTAGGGTTTAGGGTTTAGGGTTTAGGGTTTAGGGTTGCCACTGGAGGTTCGGCTGGCGGCTCCACAGGCCTTCGGCAAGCGCTTGGCATCATCCACGAGCAAAGTGTCCAGGGGGATGCTGTCCGGCAGGATGACGTACCTTGTTGCTTTGTTTTGGGAGCTACGCTTCAGTGAGAAGAGCTCGCGCTGCAGAAAGTTGTGTTTCGGCGCGTACTTGGAGGTTCATGGTCATAAATACCCCATGATAACTGTACTTAGAAATCCAATTATAACCACATTAGGGCATCTAAAGGGATTATGAGCGGGTGATAAGCACGGTTATAATGGGGTTCTGAGTACCATGACCTCCAAGTACTGCTACTAGTGCCGAGCATGCTGGTAAGCACCGCGTGCGTCAGAGTCACCGCACATTGTTGCCTCTGATGGTCAAGTGGTCCATAGACACGGGCGGCTTTCCCTTCACTGTGAACTTGATGTTCTTCATGTGCACATTCATGGACATGTCAACGCCTCAGCGGTGTGGCTGCACGGGTTTAGGGCTTAAGGTTTAGGGGTTAGGGTTTAGGGTTTAGGGTTTCGGGTTTCGGGTTTCGGGTTTAGGGTCTGCTTGCCACTTCCAGATAACATCGTGCTTGCTACCTGGACTGAGGCAGGTGCCTGTGATTGTCCCCTGCAAGAGTGCTGATCGTGCATTTGCAGGGTGTTCCAAAACAAAGCGCACAAATCGCATGGGGAGCCTGCACCACGGTGCTGTTCTTCAACTCGACAACCACGCTCTCGTTGCTCAACTTCATCAAGAACCTTCCGGCAAACTACTTGTTGCTTAAGAACCCCGAAAAAGTATTCTTCCTTATTTAGGGTAATATAGGGATTATTGTGTTCTATTCTTTTTGGGGTTCTTAAGCAAATTGCAATGAAGCAATGGAATCCCAAACAGGAAGAGCATGAGCACGGCGCCTGGCAATGGCCTCTGGTCAGCTTGGTGCCCAAGCCCCTAAACCCCCCTAAACCCAAAACCCAAAACCCTAAACCCTAAACCCTAAACCCTAAACCCTAAAAGCCCTAAACCCTAAAAGCCCTAAACCCTAAAAGCCCTAAACCCTAAACCCATCGTAGGAATTAAGCGAACGGCTTCTGTCAGACACTCCCGGCATGGGTACCAGGTGTGCAACTTTGATTCAACTCAGCAAAGCCCTCTGCCTCTTGCACGGCCCCTGAGGTTTAGGGTTTAGGGTTTAGGGTTTAGGGTTTAGGGTTTAGGGTTTAGAGTTTAGGGTTTAGGGTTTAGGGTTTCAGGTTTAGGACTACGAGTAATTTGGGTGCTCTTCACAGTAGGCAGGCCCCTTGCATTTGAGCCGGGTGCGGCTGCCCCCCCCCCCCCTCCCCCTCCCGCCCCCCCAAACCCTAAACCCTACTTGGAGGTTCACGGGTAGCTTCGAGCAGGGTTATGAGTAAGGAAACTATACTTATAGCCTTGTTAAGGCCCTCCCTTTCACTACCCGTGAACCTCCAACTAGGATGGCCATTAACACCCTCTGAATATGATCATCTTAAGCCCAATAAGGGAAAATGTCCCAAGGGCCTACCTTGCTACTTAGATCTACCCATGAACCTCCAAGTGCCCATTCAGGGCTCCCCCTAAACCCTAAACCCTAAACCCTAAACCCTAAACCCTAAACCCTAAACCCTAAACCCTAAACCCTAAACCCTAAACCCTAAACCCTAAACCTCAGGGCTCCCCGGGCTCGTAGCCGCTGGCCTGACAAGCCTCATCGTTGGAATGTGGGAAGGAGACCTGGGGTGCGCACTTCCAGACGGCAGGGGAAGGGGGTGGGGATTTAGGTTTGCAGGGCTTAGGCTTCTCTCTTTTCTATTTTTTGCACAAAAAAACTGGATGGTTAGGGTTTAGGGTTTAGGGTTTAGGGTTCAGGGTTCAGGGTTCAGGGTTCAGGGTTTAGGGTTTAGGGTTTAGGGTTTAGGGTTTAGGGTTTAGGGTTTAGGGTTTAGGGTTTAGGGTTTAGGGTTTAGGGCTTAGGGCTTTGGGATGCTTGCAGTTCCAGGGTTCTGCTTCAGACCATCGTTTCGAGGTTGATAAGTTCAAGGGGTTTTTGTACTGGGAGCAGGCATGCCCTGCTGCAAAAAGAACTAGCCCCACATGATATCATATTGCCCTTTTGGGGTTTAGGGTTTAGGGTTTAGGGTTTAGGGTTTAAGGTGACTTCATAAGGGAACCACTGGGCCTACCAAGCTTCTATTTCACAGGATGTCCCCTGGCTTGTCGCCTCAAGCTTGTCGAGTGCCGCCTCTCGTTCTTGTGACCCAGAAGCAAACACAACTCTGTACGTGCCAGTTGTTTTAGGAAGGACGTGCCACGCCATTCCACAACGGGAAGAGACTCCAGCCAAGAACCGTGCAACGGTGTAGAATGGCACCCCTTCCCTACTTGGAGGTTCATGGGCAGTTAGAAGTAGGGTTGTAAACATGGTAGCTCTACTTATGACCCTATCTAGGGTGCCAAAAACCTTACTTCGAACTACCAACTCATGAACCTCCAAGCAGCCCACCCTCCCTCCACCCCTAACCCTTTTGCGATGAAAAGCTTGAAGCGCCCTAAACCCTAAACCCCAAACCCCAAACAACAAACCCGAAACCCTAAACCCTAAACCCTAAACCCTAAACCCTAAACCCTAAACCCTAAACCCTAAACCCTAAACCCTAAACCCTAAACCCTAAACCCTAAACCAAACCACCTCCTTTGGAAACCTGCAACGCCCTCCGTGCCCAGAGAGGTGAGGCTGGGACCAGGCAAAATTTGCAGCGCCTCCACCCACACACTTAAAGGTGCTTTGTGCTTTGTGCTTAGGGTTGAGGGTCTAGGGTCTCTTACTTCTCCAATCAATGTCCCAGGTGTACCACAAGGTTAAGCTCTAATGCTCCTACAACAGCCAAAGAGTTTAAAGTGCAACTCTCGGCCCTAAACCCTAAACCCTAAACCCTAAACCCTAAACCTTAAACCCTAGAACTATTTCGCAGCTTCGGGGGGGTAGGGGAGTGGTGGATCCTTGCCAGATTGCTGCTGTCATCAGCGTAAAGAGTCCACAGTTGATAAGGGTATTGTGAGGCTTAAAGGGCGTCTAGGGAATGTTGCAGGGCCTCTACAGGGCATATAGAGGCTCTATAGGTTTGAGGGAGCAAGGGGCTCGAAATTTGGCACTGGAACCCCTCAACCCCACGAGAACTCCAGCTTAGCTTGAGGATCCTGCCATTGCGCGCAAAGTACGAGCTTCGAAGTATTGTGTTTTCCCCCAAGTTTAGTAGAAACACCCCGGACATAAGCCGAAACCCTCATTTTCGTAAATGCCTTAGAACCACTAAATAGCTAACCAACCAAGAATAGGCACTCAAATGACGATTTAAAATAGCAACATGTGCACTCCCACGGTTCCCTTGTACTCTGATCTGAGCTGTACATAAAGAGCCCAATACCCCTACACTAAGGCATATGCGGATTCCTGAAGGAAATTGAAGGTCTATTCCTTGATCAAGGGGTATTGGGCTCTTTAGGTAGATAAACGAAAAAACATAACATAAACCCTCAGGATACTCCGTATGACCATTATCATTATTGATATTGTTATTATGATTATTACTATTACTGTGTTATGATGATGAATATGATGTTTATTATTATGATGATTCTTACTGCTACTAGAAAAGCCCCAGATCAGACACCCTCAGGTTCAAAGAACTCCAGTTAGGGTTTAGGGTTGGTAGGGTGCTTAGGGCTTAGGGTTTATAGGGTTTTGATGTAACCCTAAACCCTAAAGCCTCCCCCCCCCCCCCCCCCCAGTCCTAGCCCCTGCCCTTTCTACCGTTCTTTGTCGGGAATTCGGGAAGTAGTTGCCATATGCCTCCTATACATACCTTTAAAGGAGTTCTACAGGGAACCAAATACCCCCCAATTCCCTGCTCAAGAACCAAGAAGCCTTGAACCCCAGAGCCTAAACCCCAACCACCCTAAACCCTAAACACGAACTACGTACCCCCAAACCCAAAACCCTAAATCCTAAACCCTAAACCCTAAACCCTAAGCCCTAAACCCTAAACCCTAAACCTCCAACCCCCGCCGGGGCCTTTCTACCCTGCTGGAAGGCCTTCGGTCTTGGGAGCCGCGCGCTTCGTGTGGAGCCCAAGGATGCCACGGCAGCCGCTGAACCCTAAACCCTAAACCCTAAACCCTGAACCCTGAACCCTGAACCCTGAACCCTGAACCCTAGCTCAGAGCGCGCGTTAACCTTTCCCTGTAAGGGTTTAGGGTTTCGGGGTGTTGGGGTTTCGTGTTTTAGGGTTTTAGGTTTCGCTTTCTCGCTTCGGGGTCGAGGGAATTGTTGTTGAACCCTTGCCCATCCCTACCCAAGTCCCAAACCCTCAACGCTCACGCAACCCGCACAGCCCCAACTTACCCTGGCATGTTCTGCTTTCCTTACTTCGCCAATAGTTGAACTGTAGATTCTTACCCCTTATTCAGTAGGAAGAACTCAGTTTTACCTTCTTCCCCCTTGGTTTTTGGAGAAGTAAGCTTACTTAAGGGCTTAAGGCTTGGGTTTAAGGTAAAAGGTTTCTACTATTTGCTTAAGAACCCCAAAAGAATATTTTAAAACAACAATCCCCGTAGTACCCATAATAAGGAAGAGTATTTTTCATTTTTTGGGGTTCTTAAGCAATTAGTAGGTTTAGAGTTGCATGATAGGGCTTTCAGTGGCTCCCACCCGCCTATGCCAAAGAACACGACAGCAGCTGCATCAAACCCCATGTATCTGCGGCAGGGCCTGCCGACTGTTTAGGGTTTAGGGTTGAGGGTTTAGGGTTTAACGCCTGTTGCCGTAAAATCACGATACTTGGGACCTTCATGACCCCTCACCCAAGACTTTTGTCAAGCTTGGCAGAGTGTGCTGTGCCGTAGGTGCAACAGCACAGGTGAAACGGCATGCTTGAACAAGGTGCTTTCCCTCCGCAGTCCTCTTGAGGCGACACCGCCGCATGCAAAGTAGCTCTAAGGGTAGTTACATGGTCCCTTCATATGGGCCCTTAAACGGGGACCCCTTATATACCTCTTATATACCCTATACAACTAGGGGCGCAGACATCAGAAACCTTTACGGGAGGTAGGGGACCATGCTAAGGGCCCATGAAACTACCCTTAGAGCAGCCAGGGCTTGTGGGTGCTAGGGCTGCACTCTGATTTCGCGCACTCGGAGAGCAAGCACATTCCCATGCTGTCGTGGGTGGCCTAAAGCCATCCCGACCTCATCCCTCCTCCTCCTCCGCGCCCTCCGCCGCGCCCTCCGCCTCACAATGCTGAGGAGTTTGGAACCGGAAGCTTCCCAAGAGAGACTACAATCCAAGGCCCTAGAAGCCCTGTAGCTCTAGGCATCTGAGCCCTCAACACCCCAGAGCCCCCGCCCAAACCCAGCCACCCAAAAAGCAAGGGGAAGAGAAGCAGACGAAAAAGCAAGCCTGAGGATCTCCCCCAACCTTAAGTAAGACCGTCTATCCGTTATAAAAACTCCTGTTGACCCCCCCCAAGCCTCTCAGCAACCCACGGAGTCCCCAAAACCCTACATAAACGAACCTAAAGCCCCCCAAAAAAAAAACAACAAACTTGAACCTCTGGGGCCTGAAAACCCTCCGCCGGAAACCCTGCCATGACCCTGATTCTCCCGACAATATGCCCTCGAAATCATCCCCAAACCCCCAAACCCTACATACACCCCACCCTACACCCTAACCCCCAAACCCCAACCAAAACCCTAAACCCTAAACCCTAAACCCTACACCCTAAATCCTAAACCCTAAACCGCACTCAACCCTAAACCCTAAACCCTAAACCCTAAACCCTAAACCCTGAACCCTGAACCCTAAACCCTAAACCCTGAACCCTAAACCCTGTCCCTTCTCCCTCTGCCGCGCCTCTGCCTCGGCGGCGGCCGCCGCTGCTTCGGCAGCCAAGCGGGCCTCCTCCTCTGCCTGGACACTTGAAGGGACTCCCCAAAAAACTCACTTGCATTGCACCTTAAGCCCTAAACCCTGAGCCCTAAACCCTAAACCCTAAACCCTAAACCCTGAACCCTAAACCCTAAACCCTGAACCCTAAACCCGATTCCCTAAACCCGAAACCCTCCCCAGTCGGGGAAAGAGATCGACGCCAGAAGATGCCGAGCGGCTCGGGCTTTGGCCGCTTCCTGCAGCTCCTCCTCCTGCGAAGGTGCTAACGGGTTTTAGGGTTTGGGGTTTGGGGTTTGGGGTTTAGGGTTTAGGGTTTAGGGTTTAGGGTTTAGGGTTTCGTCTAGGGGTTCTGCCTAGAACCCCCAAGGTATCTTGGGTTTGGGGGTCCCTGCTTTCGGACCCCTAAGGAGATATAAGGGCGCCATATTCGGAGCATACGAAAAGGAACCTTTTGGGGTACAGCCCTAAACCCTAAACCCTAAACCCTAAACCCTAAACCCTAAACCCTAAACCCTAAACCCTAAACCCTAAACCCTAAACCCTAAACCCTAAACCCTAAACCCTAAACCGAGTCTTCATCCCTTATCTGTTGGGTTTATGGCTTCGGGTGCGGGCTGTGATAGGGGGCATAGGGCTTCGGCTGCTACCAGTCGGGATGTAGGAGCCCACCCTTCCGGATGGTTTAGGGTTTAGGGTTTAGGGTTTAGGGTTTAGGGTTTAGGGTTTAGGGTTTAGGGTTTAGGGTTTAGGGTTTAGGGTTTAGGGTTTAGGGTTTGGGCACAGCACAAGAAGCCTGCAAGAGAGCTTTGAACCAAAGCTTCTGTGCAGGACTGCTGCACCTGGACCCTTTAATTCTTTCTTTTTTCCTGGTTATAAGAAAGGAACGCACAACAATAGGTACCCAACACAAGGCAAAAGGGCAGCTCTCTTCTGCAAGGGTTTAGGGTTAGGGGTTTAGGGGTTTAGGGGTTTACCTAAACCCTAAACCCTAAACCCCAAAGCCTAAACCCGAAGCCCTAAACCCAGCCGGTGCCTTTGCTGTGGCGGCCTCGCGATCTTCAGCCGAGACCGGCCTATGGTGTGGGGTTGCAGGTTTCGGGTTCAGGGGTTCGAGGTTTAGGGTTTAGGGGTGTAGGGGTTTAGGGTTTAGGGTTTAGGGTTTAGGCTTTAGGGTTTAGGGTTTAGGGTTTAGGGTTTAGGGTTTGGGGTTCAGGGGTTTAGGGTTTTAGGGTTCAGGGGTTCAGGGGTTTGGGGTTTAGGGTTTAGGAGTTCAAGGCTTAAGGTTTGGGGCTTCTACAGCTTGATGTTTAGGGGTGTAGGGTTAGGGGTTGGGAACTTTGGGTTTGGGCTTTTGGGATTTGGGCTTTGGGTGTTCACAAAAAAAACCAAAAAACCCTGAACTCTACCTAAACGTGATTACAAAACCCTGAACCCTAAGCCCTAATTAAACCCTATACGCACACCTGCACCTTAAGCCACAAAAGCCCTGAAGGCCCTAACCCTTGAGCTTGTGGTTGAAGAGCGTGCGGTCTGAATTGAAGGTTTGCATACCCTGACATATCAATAAACATATTTATATATGTATATATGTTTATGTACCGCCCCCCTCTCTCTCTCTCTCTCTATCTCTCTCTCTCTATACGCATATATATATATATATAGAGAGAGAGAGATATACAGATGTATAGATAGATAGATATAGTGTATGTATGTATGTATGTATGTATGTATGTATGTATGTATGTATGTATGTATGTATGTATGTGTGTGTGTATGTATGTATGTATGTATGTATGTATGTATGTATGTATGTATGTATGTATGTCAAGACACCCTATATATACCCTATGTACCCTCTGTACCCTGCTTACTCTGATTCCCCTTTCTACCCTGTATATCCTACGTACCCTAATTTCCACCCTATACCCGAAATTGCTTAACCCTATACACCCTATAAACCCACTATGCCCTGTCCTAATGTCCCCTGTATACCCTAGCATATCTAAAATACCCTATATACCCAGTACACCCTAAAATGCCCTACCTACCCTACATACCCCACATACCCTATGTACCCAATGTACCCAATGCACCCAACGTACCCTCGGCTTCTGCAAAGCGCAAGCAGGGGTTGCGGCTCCCCGTCGATGACCGAAATCTGCGGTGCCGCCACGACGACCTCATGAGGGGTTCAGGGGTTTAGTGGTTCAGGGGTTTAGTGGTTTAGGGTTTCGGGGACTTCGGGGGTTTGGGGGTCTAGAGTTTAGGGGGATTTCTGGGGTTTAGGGGGGGTTTAGGGTTTAGGTTTTAGGCTTTTAGGGCGTCAGAGCTTAGAGGTTTTGAGGGTGTGAGCTTTTGAGTTGAGGGAGGAGGGGCTGTTCCAACTAAGGCAGCCCCTTGCGGGCCAGTCGGGGGTTCAACGGGTGCTTCCGGGGCGCTTCCCCTTTTTTTGGGATGTGCCTAGAATGTGAGGTCTTTTTTGTTTCCGTCCTACTGAGCGAGGGTAGAAGATACCCCCCGAAAAAAGAACTATACCCCGAATTTGGCAAATGCACCCATTTCGCCCTGCCTTTCGGGCTTTGAAGGGTTCGGGCTGAGGCGGTTGGGCTTGCGGTATTGTGGGGTTGGGGTTTAAGGTTTAGGTGTTTGGAGTTTAGGGTTTAGGGTTGAGGGTGTCTTGGAAGGCAATCTAAGGCTTTGACGGCGTAGGGGCCCTTCATCAACTCAGTGGCACTTCCGCTGGTTCTATAATCCAAAAGCCCCCAACACCTCCCGAATTCCTGCACCAAGCCCGGACCAAGCCTGCATCAAGCCTGCACCATCCGCAACTCCTCCCTAAATCCCTGAATTGAACCCTGAGACCCTGAAGCACATCATTTTTTCTGGTGTAATTCGGGACCAGGAGGGGCACTCAGGGAATGGGAGGGGTGTTTGGAGTTCAGGCCTTAAGGGCTTAGATAGGGTTCGTAAGGGGAGGAGAGCCGTTCCTGTGCGCTTTTTTCTCTTGCATGAGACTTTCAGCAAGTCAGCTCACGACGTCCGCGCACGCCGTCTCGCATCGCACCATCTTGGAACGGTAACGGGGCAGCCGATGCGGCGTAAGCGTTCCAGAATGGCGACGTACTCATCTTCACCTGAGCCGAGTCTGAGCCTACGAGCTTTAGGGTTTAGGGTTTAGGGATTAGGGTTTAGGGTTTGGGGCTTAGGGCTTAGGGCTTAGGGCCTAGGGCTTAGGGTTAAAAAACTTCTGAAAAATGTCTCCTGAAGATGATCCTCTTATTAAACCCAAATAAGGGAAGGTGCAAGAACAATCCTACATATGAGAGCAATCCTAAATATAGTCCCCTTAGACCCAAATAAGGGAAAAATATCAAGACAATCCTAGATATCGTCATTTACAACCCTAGTAAGGGAAAAGATACAAATTATCCTGAGTATAGTCCTCTTAAACCCAAATAAGGGGAAACAAAAAAAATGTCCCAATGGCATACCTAGCCACTCTTGATCCGCCCAGCAGATGTGGTCGTGGCTCAAGCCTCTCTTGTTTTTCGAAGCCCAGAAAAGAGTGTTCTTGGATGTTCTTGGAGGTTCATGGGTACTTCATGACCCCAATGATATGTCTACTTCTGACCTACTTAGAGGACTTAGGGGTCTTATCAGTGCAGTTAGAATTGCGGTGTTAAGTACCCTGAACCCAACCTAGATGCTCCAAAACGAAAATCCATACCGGGACCCGGTGACCCGAAGAATGTACTGAGCGCGACTGAGAAGCCAATCGCGACTTCGCGAACCGGGAACGTTGGACGCGCAAACTCCGTGATGAGCGCCGTTGCACCCTGCCATGTCCGTCACATAACTTGGGTTTCTTGTTAAGGAGGTTAAACTAGATGATACAGGATCCCTGATTTAAATACTGTACGTTCCTGAAAATGAACAATGCAGGCTTCTTAAACTAAATGATATAGGTTCCTTAGACTGATTCTTACAGAGCTTCCTGAAATTCAATGATATAGGTTCCCTAAGCACATGTGTATTTAATCAACCGAATGTACAGGTTCCTGAAACGAAATAATATAGGTTCCTTAAACTAAGTATATTAAATTCTGAAAGTAAAAACACAGCGAAAACCACTGCACAAGAAACCGTCGCATAAGAAACTGAGCTGCTAAGTTCAGGGTGTCGGGTTGAGGGTGCAGGTTTGCCAAAAACTGTACTGTACTACCCTAAACCCGAAACCCTTGACCCTTAATAAGGGTTTTGGGCTTTGGGTTTTTGGTTCTCCTGACTCGGCTTCACTTCTCAGCAACGTGCATGCCATCGCGAGCTGGGTCTATGTCAGTGGGCACGCGGCGGGCCCTGTAAAAGTAGCATGCGTATGTATAAATATAAATATATATATATATATATATATATATATGCGCGCATATCTTTTTGGGGGTTTACGAAAACAAGGGACCCCTAATCTAGACCCCCAAATAGCAGGATTCCCTTATGAGAAGGATCCCAATAAGGTACTCCCTAATTTCGGGAAACCCCATATGCACATACTATCGATTTAGCAATATAATTACTGTATTTAATGCGACAAACCCTGAGGCCTGAACTCCTGAACTCTTGCGCTTGAACAGACAGCAACTCTTTTCCAAAATGCAAAACTCTCTTTACCCGCGCACGCATGGCTTACACCACATTTACATGCCCAATTCACTCCCCCCTTCTCCCCCCCCCCCCCCCCCCCCCCCACCCTCCCCCCATTCCTGCTTCGTATCAACTTGCTACTGACAGTCCTCCCCCGCCTGCGACAGATGTCTGCGCAGAGCCATCATCGTGCAAAAGAGCCACTGCTTCTGGCCCGCCCAGTCGTCCAACTTGTCCTCCCTGGAAGCCAGGCACGGTGCTCGAAGTCCTGCAACTGTCTGAAGTCTGAGGGAATACAAAAAGACCTTGTAAAGGGTTACATGGTGAGTTCTCTAAATCATGCTCCCTTATTGGGTACCCTACATATTAGGGGCCACCTTATGGTATGGGGTTGCTAGTAGCAACCCCAAAAGGAACCACAGAAGTGACCACATAAGGGGAACTCTGTTGTCGTCTTGTCTGGCAGATGTTACCGTTGTAGGAAGCTCTAGGATTCAGCTGGAGATCCTCTTTGCTCAAGGCAAGCTCCGACTTGAGTTTGGGGCCGTGTGTCTAGAACTTTTGACAGGGTCGCTATAGTTCGCCACGACCACCCCATACCTGATCATGCTCCTCACGTTCCTCTACGGCCCTGTCATTATCGCAAGCTGCTGTCAGGAAACCCTTCAGAGGATTGGCGAGTGGAATTCGCGCTTCAAACTCGAACAGCACCTAACCATGCAAAAGGTCTTCAGGACTGTCGGTCGTCCGGGGTCGTTTTCAGGACGTTTCGAGTTTGGATGCTTCAGCTGGAGCCCGCAAATGTTGATGACTAAGCTGAGGTACAGAGTTGACCCGGAACCCGCAACCTGCAAAGCGACTGAGGCCGGCACGAACTGACACTTCCGTCGCCGGAATCGTCTGAACCACAACAAGTTGAGCAGCACTGGAGCCAATGTCTAGGCTGATCTCCTCGACCGAGGCTTGTCGGTCTATGCCGGGCTCAGGGTTTAGATAGGGTTTAGGGCTCAGGGATGTTCAGGGTCTAGGGTTCAGGGTTTAGGGTCCAGGGTTTAGGGTTCAGGGTTCAGGGTTTAGGGTTTAGGGTTTAGGGTTTGAGCTAGCAAGCAACTTCAGGACTTCGGCTCTTCGACCGGATCCTCCCTGGCACTTGGGTACACAAAGTGGCAACTGGAAAGGCCATGTGGGGTCAGTTCGTAGATCGGCTGTCAGAAGTAATACTAGGATGGCCCTTAGAACCCTCTGAAAATATTCCTGGAAGATGATCCTCTTCAACCCAACAAGGGGAAATATAAACATGTCCCAAGGGCCTACCGAGAATGAACATTGAAACAATCAAAAGCGGCGGCCGAGTGTCGCCAGCGCCGCTGAATCTAATCGCGCTGCTGGCCGCCAACTCCTCTGGTGCTTCGGAGGCAGTGTCTGAAATCCAGAGGTAGCCTTCGGTCACCGCGCTGCCCGGCCGGAGATCGACATGTCCTTGTTTCTTTGGGGGGGAGACGTCTACATTGCTTGTGATGTGAACGATTGCCCCGCAGATGCCCTGCAGATGTCGATGCAAGAACTTCGTAGCCCAGTAACTATATTATAATAAGACCCAGGGTTTAGGGTTTGGGGTGCAGGGTTTAGGGTTTTATAAGGGAGCCCAGGACCCAAAAAAGGGTAAAGGGCACCACTGGGCTACCAAGGGAAGATATGAGCTGAACCTTCCGCTGGCCATCCTTTCTGGCTTCTGAGGTTTGGGGTTTAAGGTTTACGGTTTAGGGTTTGGGGTTTGGGGTTTAGGGCTCGGTATATCTACAAGATGTTGAATTGGGTTTCCATGATTTCACCCAAGCGACGTTCACCCGACCCCGCCCGAAATATCCCAAACCCTAAGCCCTAAATAACCCAAACCCTAAACCCTAAACCCTCAAACCAGGATCCCAAACACCACCCTGTAGCCGAGGATTCCAATCAGGACCTTCCGGGCGGCCTCCAGGCAAATCCTTTTTGGCACTGCGGAGGGTTTAGGGTTTAGGGTTTAGGGTTGAGGGTTGAGGGTTTAGGGTTTAGGGTGCGGAAAGAAGGTGGTGGTTGCGATTTGGCGTTGAGGGTGGCTTATTTCGACCGCCGAACCATCCACGACTCAACCCTCGAGTCCCAAAACCCCTGAAGCCCCAACCCCAAACCCTACAAATGCCCTACAGAGCCCCTAGTCCCGGAACCCTGAACTTTTTCAACCCCCAACCCTAAACTTTAACAAAGCCCAAACATGTAGACCCGGGAAGCCGACCCCCAAAACCCTAAACCCTAAAAACTAAACTCTACAAACCCTAAACCAGAAACCCCAAACTCTAAACCCTGAAACTAAACCCTAAAACTAAAACCTACAAACCCTAAACCAGAAACCCCAAACCCTAAACCCTAAACCCAAAACCCTAAACCCTAAACCCAGCCCAGGCTCCGGCCGGGGGCTTCCTGCGAACGGTGGAACTCGGAGCTTATGTCGGCCATCAGCTGCTCCGATCCGAAACCTGAGGGTTCGGGTTTCGGGTTTCGGGTTTCGGGTTTCGGGTTTCGGGTTTCGGGTTTAGGGTTTAGGGTTTAGGGTTTAGGGTTTAGGGTTAGGGTTTAGGGTTTAGGGTTAGGGTTTAGGGTTTAGGGTTTAGGGGTTTAGGGGTTTAGGGGTTTAGGGGTTTAGGGGTTTAGGGGTTTAGGGGTTTAGGGGTTTAGGGGTTTAGGGGTTTAGGGGTTTAGGGGTTTAGGGGTTTAGGGGTTTAGGGGTTAAGGGGTTAAGGGGTTTAGGGGTTTAGGGGTTTAGGGGTTTAGGGGTTTAGGGGTTTATGGGAGGATTTGAGTTTGTATATGAGCTTTCATAGCTTCACAGGCTTTTAAGAACTCTTGCCGAGTGTTTAGTTAAAGGGCTGCATGGGGTTATCAGTTTCTTTTTGTTATTTGTACTAGGGCCTTACGTAGTCTCTCTGAATTGTTTGACCGTGTTTGGAAGGTCTTGCAGTTAAGGGTTTGGGGGGGCGGGCGGGGGGCTTCCGGCAAGGTTAGTGTACAGGGGCTGCCGGAGGGCTATCGTGCGTGGTATACCACCGAAACCTGGAAACGAGTCTCAGCTTCGAGTGGAAGGCGCAGCTTACACACTTCCAGCATTTCACATTGTCAACAGCAGCTGGTTTGTGCTTGTTATTTATTAACCTCAAGCATGATTCAAAGAGGTTCAGCACACAATGCGCATTTTGGTTGTACCGTGTTCGTTGCTGACGTCAATTCTGTGTACCGCCAGGACTCTTCTTACTGCCCCTGAGCGAGAACTACTCATTGTGGGTTTCGCACCTCCATTCGCCATTCGCCTGTATCCTCCAGTCACCGCATCGCAACTCGTTTCAGTAGCAGCAATATGGGGCTTTACGAAAGTATAGGACCCCTAATATAGACTCCAAATAGTAGGATTCCCGTAGAATTAGGACCCCCATCAAGGTACCCCCAATTTCGGAAACCCCCATGTGGCGCCAGAAGACTGTGAGCCAGTGCATGTCGAAGGACAGCACCGTAGCCTTGGCCTCTGTGCCAAAAGTCATACACCTGCCGAGCTCAACAGCAGCTGAGTCTTACAAACCCCCCCCCGCCACCACCCCCAAGATGCACTGTTCCTGATGCAGGATCAGTATGCATGAGTACAACTCTGAGGTTTAGAACGTCCTGAAAACCCTAAACCCTAAACCCTAGACACTAAACCCTGGAAGAAGGGAAGCTTGTTCATGGGATCTCAGAGAGGTGGGCCACCCTCTCTTTTCTCGGAACCTCAGCTTCTAATTCTGCAGGACAGACATCCTGGAAGTTGACCCCAAAAATAGGGGACACAAGTTGGGATGTCCCTAAAGTCCTTAATTGGGATTATAATAGGAGGCACTATGATCCCCGTTAAGGACCGTTAGTTTCAGGGGAACATCACAAGACACAATTCACTAGGCCCAAGAGAAACCTAGGCAGAAAGCCCTGCTTTGGCATCAAGGAGCATATCAAGGAGCCTAGGCCCCTTGAACCCTAAACCCTAAACCCTAAACCCTAAACCCTTTAAAAGGCCCCTTAAACAAGGGGAATGATGGACCACGCTGGGTCCTAGCTAAGGGTCCGGGCATGGCCCTCGCTTCTTGCACAGTAGAGGCCCCTCCCCTAGACCCGAAGCCCTAAACCCTAAACCCTAAACCCCCTTGCACCTGTTCCTCGCGCACCTCCCCTTCCTCCAGAAGGGGCTCGATGAAGTCACACAGCACCTTCAGGGAATCTCAAGGGTAGCTTCATGGGCCCTTACTACGGTCCTACCCTAAACCCTAAACCCTAAATCCTAGAGAGCACCTCCTTTGGGCCTTGGGCCATCGGGTATACTATCATTAGATAGGAATAAGAGCCCTGTTGAAAATTAGGCCAAAGCCTCAGCCCACTTTCCTCCCCCAGCGCCTTGGCATAGCTAAGGAGCCCGTGTGCAAAGAGGAAGCGCTCGCTGTCGCAGAGATCCTCGGCCCGGAAACTGGGTTAAGGTTCAGCGTTTCAGGTCTAAGGTTTGGGATACTGGGATGTTCAAGGGTAGGTATAGCTGGGTTTACACATGGGATTTAAGTATAGCTACAAATGGTAAAAACCTGAATTGGGGGCACTTATGAGACTACATCTACCCTTGAATGAACCTGCTAGCGGTCCATGTCTACTCTCTGGAGGCTTTCAGATGATCCATTGGCCAGAGCATGCATGCCCGCACGACGAGCGCAATTCTAGAGCATCCATTGAAAAGGACGCAGGAATATTGGGGGGGGGGGTTACGATAACAAGGGACCCCTGATATAGATCCCCAAATAGTAGGATCCCCTTATAATAAGGACCCCAAGAAGGTACCCCTATTATCGACACCCCCATATAACTCCGGTCTGGCTGGAGTAGTTGGGGCTCCTAAACCTGCTCTGACCCTCCAACACAAGCCAACACATCTAAGCATGTAGAGACCAGAGTACTTTTCTGGAAAAACCTAGGTCTGCACAAATGCGATTTTTTCGCCTGAGACCGACGAAGCACCGACAAATGGGACAACCAAGCAAACGCATGAACTCGACAAGCCTATCACAAGACAGGGACCTAGGGACCGCGGACCTAGCTTAGAAAAATTTGCGCGCCGAAATTCAGGACCCCCACCAGATGATCCAAGACTCATAAGTGTTCCCCAGTGGACGGGGAGGGGGCGGGGGGGGAATTCTTTTCTACTTCTAGTTTAGGGCACCGTTCTACCTACCCCCCATGTCTCACGAACTCTTCAAGAAGCTCTGTCGTCACCTTAGCAAGACCTTGCACATTTTTCCACCTAAACCCTTCTTGCATGAGTTCACGGGCGCACCAACATGGAGCCAGCAACCCTAAAGCCCGAAACCCTGCAAACCCTAAAGGCCAAGCCCTAAACCCTAAACCCTAAACCCTAAATCTTAAACCCTAAACCCTAAACCCCAAACCCCAAACCCTAAACTCTAAACCACCATCCTCCAAGAAGCGGTCGACGACTGTGCCAGGGCATCCTCAAACTTGAGCACCTCAGGGACGAGGGGTTTAGGGTTTAGGGTTTAGGGTTTAGGGTTTAGGGTTTAGGGTTTAGGGTTTAGGGTTTAGGGTTTAGGGTTTAGGGTTTAGGGTTTAGGGTTTAGGGTTTAGGGTTTAGGGCTTGGGGTGTTAGGGCTTGGGGTGTTAGGGTTCGAAGGTTCGAGGGGATTCCATGGCTATATCAGGGCTTTAGGGCTTTAGGGTTTTGAGGGGTTTGTGGGGCTTTGGGTTGAACTTCAGGGGGCTGTAGGAGGTTTAGGATTCCAGGGTTTTCACCCTAAACCCTAAACCCTAAAACCTTTAGGGGTGTGAGGGTTCGGGGCAGCTTCCCAGAATGTCGAAGCACAACCCTAGTAGGCCCTAAAGACTTTTGAGGGTTGAGTTTGGTTGGTTTAGGGTTTAGGGTTTAGGGTTTAGGATTTAGGGTGTAAGGTTTAGGGTTTAGGGTCTACTGCTGCAGCTTTTTGAGAACTTCCAGCCTCAGTGACAACCTTTTCGCTCGGAGCTTGGTCGCTTGATGTGTTTATGCACTGCTGTTTAGGGTTTAGGGTTTAGGGTTTCGGGTTTAGGGTTTAGGGTTTAGGGTTTAGGGTTTAGGGGGTTCAGGGTTTCGGGTTTTGTGGCCACAGGAACTCAGACTGTTTCGAGAGCTCGTCCGGGGTTCCATAGTACTCAGTTCAAGCCTGCTCCTGAGCTACACCCTGCATACTACATGACCCCCCCCTCCACACAAATAGAACAACACAAACACTACAACGCCATATATATATATACATATATATATATATATTCTTCCTCACAAACTTATAAGGGCAATATGGGGACTACGATTCTTTTTCAACTACACTGCAATAGCCTTATAAACGGACTGCAAAAAGCTTCCCTGCAATCCTGAGCAACCTGGCCGGGCGGCAGCTTCAGCATCTGATACCTTGGAGCAACAGAGAGAGAGAGAGAGAGAGAGAGAGAGAGAGAGCGAGACAGAACAAAAAGAGAGAGAGAGAGAAAAAAAAGGGGAGAGGGAGAGGGGAGGGAGAAGGAGAGGGAGAAGGAGAGGGGGAGGGGGAGGGGGAGCGGGAGAGGGAGAGCGTGGAACCGTCAGCAAGAAAGCAAGTTCACAAGTACTGCAACCTCCAAGCGAGGCCATGGACATGCGTGCCTCCCCAAAGCGCATCCAAAGTTACTGCGGGGACAGACCATCGAAGGACGCGACCTGCCAAGAGGGCCACTCCAGCGCATCGCTGAGGTGCAAGGGTTCATGTCCCTTTGTAGCATATACCGGGCCTGAAAGTGGGGTGCCTGAACCCAAGTGTATGATTTTGGTGCATGGATCATATAATACCCACCTCAAAGCGATGAGTTCAATGCTGAGGGAGGGTGGGGGGGGAGGGAGGAGGGGCTTTGCCACTCTTCTTTGAAGCTTTGGCACCTTCTGCTGGAGATTTCCAACCAATGCTGGCAGCGGAAGCTCATCCTTGGTTTCTCGGCACATTGACTCCCTAAACCCTAAACATGGGCTCAGGAGCCACTGCCTGGACCCTTCCTTGTAGTTGCTTGTTAAGGGTACCTCTTGTCTTTCGTAGTATGCAGTAGAAACCATAAAAGTGTTTGCCCAAAAATAAACTTACTTCTCCAATAAGCGGGGAAAAAGGTTAAACTTTATTATTCCTACTAAATAAGGAAATCAAAAAGTTTAGAAGTTCAACTGTTGGCTAAGTAAGTAAAAGAAGGAACTACAACCAAGAGTCTAGGTAATGTAGGGGCCCTAATGATTAGAACACGGTTTTGGGGGGATGTTATAGTATAGCTATAAAGGGACCATGCGGGAATATGATCAGTAATCACACTAAACCCTAGTTATGTTGGGCGGCCTTTGGGGGCTTGGGATCTGCCCCTACGCCTGTCACGCCGGCCGAGCATCC